GCTTATATATAATATATTGCCGAATTATAACCAAAAAGAATTTTCCGTTAATAATAAATTATTTAAATTTTGAAAAGATAAATTGATAGCTTTCATTTTTAGCAAAAAGTTTAAAAATATTTTTGATTTTTAACGAATACAATTGGTGATCTAAAATAATACATTATGGTAAATTATAATAATATACAGTCCAACTCTAAACATTATGTTGATTTAATTTATATAGTTATTAAAGTAAATGTTATATGGTTAAATACTTCGAAAAACCCTGAGTTTTTTTAGAAAATAATTTATAGCTGATCAGAAATTCATTTTTTAAATAAAAATTTTATCATATTGAGTCTTTTTTTTTTTTGGTTACATAGGCTAGAGAAAGAAAAAACGATGTCAACATTTACTTGACTTACATTACATTTCACTCTTAAAGGAGTTTTGGCGGGGACGATTCAACTATTCTACTAATAGATATGGTCTTCATCATAAAACATTTTATAAGTGTTGTTAAATCGCCTATGTACGGGTTTTTCTCAATTTATTGATGGTTAAGTAATAATAACTCAAGAAATAAACAAATATGTGACTAATACAACAGACACCGCGGAACTCTTAACTTTTATTAATTATAAATACGTTTGCACATGTACATTCTAATATTATACCTAGAATTATTAAAATACTATTTCTAGTCAATTATATTTTGCTTACCTGTAGAACGGATCATGACTTATGTAGGCAATATAATGTGTTTATCGATGGCGACGCACTTTTCTAATACTCTAATTAACATTCGATGGCATTTGCTCGATCGTGAACGTTTAAAAAATATGAAATATATAAATATTTAAAAAAAAAAAAAAAAAACAAAATATAACTTTATTACTTTTTATAAGGAATGTATTATGTATACGCAAATGATTAACGCGTATATATATATATGCAAATATAAATAAATATATGAAACAAAAATGAATTTTACGTGAAGTCGTTGTATAAATATAATTTTCAGTATTAAGTGCAAAAAAAATTTCGGGTGCAGGAGACCTCAAACTATTTGATGTATTTATGAGCAAACTTCTTAGTATACTGTTAGTATTTAAGAACGTGTTGACAAACAACGTCGGCGGACAAGTAATAAAGGTTTTACTAGTAAACTACTTTTTGCATGGTCGATGACGACAATACATTGTGATAATGAGTTGCAAAGAAATTGATATGACGCTTTGTGTGATAACGTTTTAATCACCACGTTCAAGAAGTGATAATATTATTTATTTCAGTTACCAACAATACTGAATAGTGACAAATTTTTAATCAAACACAAAATCAATTAAAATTGATATCGTTGCAGCTTTTTGATTGACTGCCAATATAAACAACAACGTCTAGTATTATTTAACAAATAGATTATTATGCTATCTAAAAAGATATCGAAATCTGCGTTATTAAGTAAAACAAACTTATGTTTTAACATTTATATTTTCTAATAAATATATGGATTATCGCTTTATTTATATTATTACTTTCTCATTAAATTACCAATGTATCATCATATTTTAATTTTTATAATTGTTTCTGAAGAATGAATTGTAGATTATTTAAATAATATACGTAAATCTCGACATTTTTTCAATACGTTTGAAGACAAAGAAAAATAATTTTAATAATTATTTAATTACATAATAATGAAACATTGTATTGAGTAGGATGGACTAGTAGTATTGACAGGTGGAAACTTTTAAATATTTAGGATTATTTTCACAAAATAACAATCGTATTCACGAGGATGTGAGGTATAGGAATAATTGCAGGTATTTTGAATGATAAGAACATCCCAATGAGGCTGAAAAGTATGGTCTATATGACTGTAGTGAGACCAACTAAGTTGTATGGTTCAGAGTGTTTGGTAGTTGATGAGAAAGTAGAGCAGAGAATGAGTGTAGCAAAATGAGAACGCTTTAATCGATGAGTGTATGACAAGAGAAAATAGGATAAGGAATAGATATGTAAGAAGAAGCTTCGATCGTAGATAAGATGAGAGAAAATAGGTTTAGATGTTTTGGTTGTTATAAGAAGAGAGCAATTGGAAGCTGTAAGAATGATTATAGAAATGTACGTCAAAGGAAGAAGAGGAAGAGAAAGACCAAAAAAATGGTGGTTAGATACAATTGGGGTGATATGAGGGCTGCGGTGTGTATATAGATTTAGATAACGTGTAAAATCGTGTCAAGTGGAAGTTTAGGATACGGGTTGCAATTCCAAGTAGTTTTGATAAAGGAGAGAGGAGACGAAGAAGATTACTAGAAACATAATAAGCGTTAGTAGAGAATAATTTTATTTAAAAATGATAAATTAAATAAAGAAACATATAACAAAATAAACATTTTCTTACAATAAGTTATTATGTTAAAATTACAGTTAGCCACGAGTAGCACAAAAAGAACCTAACCACTGATGGTAGTTTCACTAAACATTTAAATTATTATATAACACGAGGGAAAAGAAAAAAAGTTATTTTTTAAACATTTGTTTATATGAGTAGAAAAAAAGCAAAATAAAAATTATTTTTTTCAATTTAACTTATTGTTTTTAATAATCTTATATAACTATTTCTATATAACATTTTTATTTAAATAAAGAAAAATATATAAGATTTCAACTATTTATTGTCGAATAAATCTGTGTACATTAATTTAAAGTAATAACATTTTATAAAAAAAATAGATAGTTAGAAAGCCGTTTTATAAGTCACATATGTAAAATAAATTATAAAATGAATAATAATAATAAATGGAAAAGTTTTTTTTTGCGAGTTACGTTTCTCTAAACCAAACTATTTAATCGTGTCAAAAACTAGTTTACCTCGGACATACTAATCGTTACAAACTTTTTAGTTACCAATAATATCATAGCGTTTATATATAACACAACATAAAAGCTGGTATTGTCCTTAAAACCTTATAGTGAAGCCATTAAAAATGCAAAAATGATTGTAACTCAATTTTGGTATTATCTATTAAACCATGGTGGTTATTGGATGACTTATTAATTATGTTTTGTCAACTAAACATTATAGGTTAATCGTTTTGCAAAAAAAAAAATTGTATTAAAATTTAATTTTAATGTATTCATTTTAGTATAATCCGACTTTTAGAAACTGTCAATATAATCGTATCACTATAAAAAAAAATTGTCAACATTCTAGATTGTTTACCTTTATCAAAAATTAATATAATAATTCGATTAAATTTTAAAATTATTTTTAATATTTTTGTAAGAATAATCTTAAATGATTTTACAATAAATTATTTATTCTTAGTCAAAAAACTTAATAGTATTAATGCATGTATATTATTAAAAGCCTTTTCAACAATTAATTTTTTGATTTAAATATACATGTGACATATATATATATTTAAATAGTATTAATAAATATGTATGTTAACTTTTCTGTACTACTAAGTCATAATCCTTATATTTATACGCTACTTAACATTTAAACGAACTAAATTTTTATATTAAACGTTAAAAGGGATTAATGATAAGCAGTTTTGTATATTGGCAAATAACTATTTCTTCTTACATCATATATTTTTTAAATATAAAGTTTTCAACAATTTATTTTTATTTTAATAAGAATTTTTTACATTATAAGTTGTATTATATTTAATTATATTTAACGTTTACTGATATGACCAATTTTTGGTTTTTTAATTACGTTTTGACAAAATGTTTTGTTTTAAGCGTTATTCATATTGTTTTCTTGCTCTGCTAATACTAATTGATGCTAACAACTCCAATAATAAACCTTTATTGTACACCAAGACTAAACCAACTTTTTTAAGCATACATATATGCACTTTCATGTAATAAAAGGTTAAGTAATAGTGGACAGGCTTAAACCTTATTTTATCTGTCATAATAATTTGCTTTGTAACAATTGTTTAACTGTATTTTTTAAAACAGAAATTTATCTAATAATAATGCGTAACAGTTTAATTATCATGTTAAAAAAAATTCTTTAACACTAACAATAATAAATGAGTCACATATAAAAATTGTGTTTTTGTTTGCAATAAAAGAAACAATTATCTAGTAATATAGAATTATATAATGATCGCAATGTTAATGTGTATATAATTTTGATTTTAATAATAAAATATTATTGCATAATCAAATATATAAGTTTGAAAAATTAATGACAACTATGCATTTTTATATATTTTTACAAGCATTCTCCATTTACTGTTATAGGGTTTAATTTCTATGCCTTAAATTATTTTCAATTTTACATTTAAAATTAAATTTCATTATAATTAATCAGGACTATCTTTAAAAAACAATATTTTTGTCAAATATTTGTAGACTGAGGAAAAATGTAAAAAATTATGTTATTAAATTAATTATTTGTTCGTTTTAGTGGAATTTGTTATTAATGTACTATTGAATAATTACTTATATTAATAGTAATATACATTAGTATTGATATTTATCTTTTTTCAAGAACAAAAAAATTATAGCAATATTCGATAATAAATAATACATTTTTAGAATATGTATTAAAATTTTTCCAAAAAAATTAATAATTTAAAATACACTTAATATAAATATAATACTTTAAGTAAGACTAACTTTTAAAAATCTATAAACGAAGCTAATTTTTTTGAATTAGTTTAGGTCAAATGAAAAACATTTTGTTCGAAGATTACATAATAATGTTTGGAGTATAAATAATCGAAACATTAGCTGATTAAAAGGTCAAAAGATCTGCAGAATTATTAACATTAGGTTATAGATTTAATAAACGTCATCCTATATCTACGTTTTAGTAGTATTAGGAAATAAAATAAAGTTACATTAATTAAATTTTTCTTAGATTTTTTTTCAATTGTAAAAATGATAAATTTAAGTCACATTGTTAAATCTATTTTTCTTTTGTTAAATGATGTTTTAATTATTTCGTGTATTGAATTTATTTTTAAATATAACATGGATCATAAAATAAAATGTTAAAAATAAATCATTGACTTTTAAATATTCTTTTAAATAAATTAAATTTGAATAGATATGGTATTTGATTATTTTCTGAGAGGTAAAATCTATTATTTCACTTATTTTTATTATAATGATTTATTAAAATTATTAAATTTATTAGGATGTGATGTGATGCTGTGAGAATCATTCAATCGCCGCTGAACATCAGCGGCGCTATTTGCTGTTAGTCATATAATACAGTTGTGTCAGGTCAACAGCTGATGTAAATAGTCTGTTAAATCATAAAATATACATACATATATATGTAATTGACGCCAAATAGTTAGGATAGAAGCTAAGGAGATGATAATGAACATTAGATACTCCATTATCAACTAATATTCTCTGAGACTAGATAATTATATTTTCTCAATTCATATTAAAATCAAATTATGATTTTCAGCTTGTCTAGACTATATTTTCCTAAATATTTAGCAACAATATATTCTACATACGAACATTTTTCAAGTGTTTTTGGATTGATTCGGGGCCGTTATTCGGCCCTCGAAACAAGGCATTCTAGGGTTAATATTTTTAACGAGCCATCTTAATTCGTTAACAAGTAATTTTTCTTTCTCAATAGATAAATGAAGTTATTTTTAATTAAGAATACACTAAGGAGAGGTAATGGCCTATTTATGAGTGAACCATTGATTTCGACCCGTCCAAAGATATAAAATCATTCGATGATAGTAGGAGGGGCGAAGCTTTCCTTTTACTTAACGTTCTGAAAGATATACACACCTTTTTCATAATAAACTCCTAAATATATCATTAAAGAGGAATCATAATTTGGCAATTGCCTAGAGGACCTGAGACTCTATTCTACATATATATCTGAGACGGACTCTAAGTCCGGTCTTAGATTGAATAATACATAAAATTTTGTTATTTTAACTTCAAATTAAATCATTTGATTTTAATCGTTTCCAATTTTTTTTTTGACTAGTGCTAAAATTCATTAAATTTATTTATTTACTATAAATTATACGGGCAATAGCCCAAAAAATACAATATGTATTAGACAGTTAACTGGACAACTTAAAATTATCTAATAACTAAAAATGAAACATTAATAAACTTAAGCTTGACAAAGAGAAAAAGAAAAATTTAAACATAATCAAAAATTTAAATATTAAATAGGAAGGCTAAATGACTACAATTAAATTAAAAATATATTATTATAAAATGTATTATATTTCTTTGTAGTATAATATTACATAAATATTATAATATTTTTCTTCGAGTATGTTACTCCAGATTTTGATATTTACTCATTATGTTATTGAACAACGCATTAAGTAAACTTTAGTCAAATCAATGTTAATAAAATAGGTTAACCTGTGCTCTGCAAATAATCAAGTACCAATTATTATAATTGAATTAATATCAATGTAAAAATATATTATTAAACTACTAATTAATAGCACTAATTATTATATTGCATTAAAACTGATAAAAAAACTTTAGAAATAATACTTCCTTACAATTGTTTTTATTATTATTATTTATCTTCTCAATAATCATCTAACTGCAGATGTATTTTAAGGAAAAACTATTAATTTTCTATTCTGATAAAAAATAATAAAAATGAAGGGACAGTTTATAATAATGTAAAATAAGAAGTTAAATGAAAGTTACTTTTGGAATTAATTAACTATGAATTCAAAAATAATAAAGAACAATTTTTTTCAAAACACCAATTTTAATAAAAATATCAGATAAATGACACATAAATTATAAATATTTTAAGGGTGATATCTTGTGTAAAAGAATAATTTTTATGACCTCCAGTGCAAGTAGAGAAGTGCTTAATTAACGTTTCAAAAATTATTTTACTACAACATAAATAAAGTGATAAAAATATTAAATAATAGTGCTGACGATGTTGATTTAATTTTTAGTGTTTAACAATGATTATTTTTTTTAAGGATTAACATAAAAAACAATAATTATGGTGAAAAAAATCAAAATATTTTTTCGTTTATTTTATTTGAATACACGTATCTCGTTAATGTGCCTATTTGTATTTTTCTGATTTTTTAATAAAAATAAATGGTTATTGGTTTAGGTACAGTGCTCTTTCTAAAAGCTAAGATTCGGTTATTAAATTTAATATTACAACAGGAAACGATTCTTATCAGAGAAACTTCTTTCTCTGTTTATTTGTTATTCCAGTACAATTTCTTTTTCTACTAAGTCATGTTTCATTTCATTCACATGACTCTTTTCTTTACCTTTGTCTTATAGTTTGAATAAACACAATACTATTATGCATATTATAGTTTCACACAAACAGTACAAAACATTTAAATTTCATTTTTAAGTAGTTATTAAATTCAAATAACAAAAATACATATTAAAAGAAGTAATCTTTTTTATTAAAAAAATGTAATGATCACAAAAATATTACTCTGAAGTTCAGCTAAATTAACATTTTTAATAAAATGCATGCCTATAATGTTCAATATACTGTTTTTAAAGGTAGATGCTTTTATGATATTATCCATTAATTCCATTTTATATTACTATGGGTTACACCTCATATAGTAAATAAACTAAATCAAATAAAATTGTTTGATACTTAATGTTTTAATTACATTAGTTTTTTTGTAGTTTGTTCACAATATCTCATATCCGAATAACTTAATCGTAGATTATATAAGTAAGATGGCATTGTTAATTGAGTTTGAAATAAAGTTTCCGTTGGTTTATAGATATACATATTTATTAACAGGGATTTGTTTGGTAATTATTTTTGATTTTAACTAAGTTAATCATATAAATATTTTAATATATTTAAAACCAAGGTCAAATTTTTAAGTTTTATAATTTGACTTTCTTTATTTCTCAAGTTAAATAGAAAAAATTCAAGTTTATTAAATTTTATCGTGGTAAGATTATTGTTTCTTGTACTTATGACTATTAAACTAGTAAACTTAATAAAAGAACTAAAACTAATTATATGTCTTTCGAACATTTAGAACTGAAGCTTGCCACGTGTATTAGCCTAGCGCCTTTGTAGTGATAAAAATTTTTCATTAATATAATATTGTGTAAATTTAATTTAGGTACTTACATTTTTTGGTTTTATCAATCAGCTAAACTATCTCGGTGCTTCTTTAATAATAGCAACAATGATATTGGTATTTTTTTTTTTAATTGACGAAACTAATTAGCTTATACAATACTAAAATACAGATTCATCTAGGATCGTTGTGATTTAATGAAATATGGAGTGATGATTTCTGGCATAGGAAGCTCAATAGATTTATTTCATTTGATATTTAACAATTCCGAGTATGTTCAAAAATTATAATTTCTATTTTGAAATAACATGTTTTATTAGTACTTATACGAAATAAAAATAAAAATATGATTATAAATTGTTTATTTTCAGTTCTAACTGGCATTACATCAGATATCTATTGTTTGTAAAAAAACTATTTAGTAAATAGTCCAGTATTTTCTAATACATACGTTGGTAAATATGTTTAAAAATTATAATATTATATTAACCAAATTTTATAGTGATTGTATTTCAATTGGTATGGATATTGTTCATATACATTTACATGTCACAAGAGAGTGTTTTAGGTAATTCAAAACAAAATTTTAAATGGATCGAAAATCAGTTAAGCGACCTTGTATCCAACATACCTGATAACTCAAAAAGCCCTACATTAGCACAGGAAACTTTTACTTCTATTAGTGAGGGAAATCCTGATGATAAGGAAAAAAAAGATATAAAAAATCAGGAGACTTAGAATGTGGAAAAAAGTTTATAGTCTAATATTAATAATAAACTATAAGATAAAAATACATGATTTCAAAAATTAATTTATACAAATATTTTTCTGCCTATTAAATCTATAAAAGATCACTAAATTTAGTAATTTTATATTCAATTATGTTAATAAAAAATTTTATAGTTTTACAGTAATATAAAGTGTTCTGCTTACACTGCATTTAATTGTATACTTGTAACAAGGGTACTACAAAAAAAAAAAATCAATTATTTGAAATGTTTAAACAAAATTAAATAATTGAAATCTATTTAAGTTTAAATTGGGCAATTTTTAAAACTAAATTATTGTATAATCATTAAAAATACAAAACCGAGATAATTATTGCAGTGTCATTAGCTATGTATGCCCGAGAAAGTCTTTCTGATATTTTTATTGTGTTTTGTTAGTGTTTTTTTTTACTGTAATGGACAATGCGATTAATTGTTCGTAAAGAAGTTTTTATACCATGGCCATGTGTAAGTGTATATAATAGAGAATTTTTGGTAAAATATATTTTAATTTTTTTCAAAACTTTAACAAAAAATTATTCACTGATTAGTGAATAATTAATTTAACTGTTTAATTTAGGTATACAAGTGTTTTTTAAAGATATTTTTATAAGTACATTTGTTAATATATTTATTGTTCGATTAATTAGTCTAATTGATATAACTCTTTAATATAAATATAAACTTAAGGAACTAAAGTTTTTAAAATTTTATAAACTGTTTATACAATTATTATTTATACAACTATTTATTTAATTTTGTATTAATTTAATGATTGTATTATTTTGCAATGAATGTAAAATGTATCAAGAAAATCATAGACAATTATTAATTATAAAAGCCTTAACAGTTAAAACTCCTATTGCAAACATATAATAAAGTAAAACAAACCTTGGCCCATCTATACGAGGTTAATTTTTTGATTGTTAGATGTTTTTTCTGCTCTGGCATCGCGTGGTAATGCCATCGCAACTTAAATATGATTACGAAAGTTTAAACCAATGATAATTATTGTTTTCTTTGTTTTGTTTTAATTTTTTTGTCAATTAAACCATTAGTCACTTTGAGGGTAAAAAATAAAATCTCAGGAAACCAAATTAAGATTAATTACTCACAAATTACTTTTCTTAAAGATTACAAAGCCCAACTATTAATTTTTTCATTTCCTTTGTATTAATAAAACATTTTATTAACTTAATATATAATCAAAAACGATGTCATAGTTTTTGTTTGAGATAAAATATCAAAATTATGATACATTTTTTTTTAATTAGTCCGTTACCTCTCTTGAATTTTTCTTTGTTCTGAAAAGCCAGAATGCATAATTCTGAAAATTATACTGCATTATAATTTCATTTTTATAGGCCGTGTATGTACATTACTATAATATTTTTACAATATGAATATCTATAGAAAGACTTTAAAATGTGAAATGATACTTATCAGTTGACTCTATAATATAAATAGCTATTACAATATTATCGTTTTACGACTCCAGTTAAATCACATTATGATTTTATTGCACTAAATACTATGCAAGTTGGTTTGCGCTTCATGAATATAATATAGTAATATTATAACTTAGATTTATAAAATATTGTCTTATCAAAAAGTTAATGGTCATCGAATATAAAAGTGTTGATTCTATAATCGTGTTACTTTGTTAATGAATTTATGCAGCTGTTTTGTAAATTTTTTTTTATAGAATATGGTTGTAGTATTGTTAGATTTGGGTATTATTTATAATATGTTCTGTATTTTATGTTAATGCACATTTCATAACACTTATTAACTTGTTTTGTTATGCTGTATACATAATATTCAATGTTATACGACAGACATTATAGATGACAAATAAATGATATATATTGAATTTATTTCAAAATGATGAGTTTATGCGATGGTTATATAAATACATGAAAAATAATATATTCCTAAAAAAACAATTACAATTTATTTAAATAAACATGAATTTTGTTTGAAAATTAAATAGATCTATACATTTTGTAAAAAAATAGTTATAAACATATTATTGTGTGACAAGTCGAAGATTTAAATTCGTATTACTTACAAAAAATATAATTATTTTATATTTGACCTAATTCCACAATAATTTTTAGAATAATTAAAATTTGTTTTTGAAAAAAATAATATATTTATAAAAATTAAACTTGGGACAATTTTGAGGTAAAATTCCTAACTAATAAGTAATTCTACTTAAATTACCTTAAACAGTTCAATTTTAATTTCTTAAATAATGATTAAAATTTGGGTTTTAAATAACCCTGATACACATTTAAAATTTTATTTTTATCTATTAAAATATTAATTTGAAATTTTCTAAATTTTAATTTATTTNATTTTGTATATTTTTTTTAACAATCTGACCCTATAACCTGCCCGCATGGGGTGATTCAAAATGTCAACTTTTTCACTAAAAAATAATTTTTCAACTTAATTTTTGAAAGTTTTCTGAAAATACTATCACTTTTATATATATATATATATTAGGGTGATTAAAAAAAATCGATTTTCAAAATTTTAATGAGAACAATTTTCACTTTTTTTTATATATTAAAAACACAAATTTTGTGAAGATTTGAAATTTTTAAAAAATTTTTACTTGTCACTCAACGTTTATTTAGTAATTTGATCAAAAAGACCTCTATAAAAAAAAAAAAAAAACAAAAAACTGCACCTGTTATTCAATTTTTGGTCAAATATTATGATTAGTATATCAAAATAGTTTGATTTTTACTGTGAAAAAAAATTTTTTAGTTTCAAAATTTTAAGTCAAAAATTGAAAGCTTAGATATCATAATTAACTTCAGTGTATGGTATATTTCTAGTAGCTCTCATGTAAGCTTAAAATTAAAAAAAATTTTTTTTTTTTGCAGTTTGGCTGATATTTATGTATATTATAAGTAGAAAAAAAATTATTTACTGATCTTAAAAACTTATATCTGTTTTTAAAAATAAAGTGTAAGCTAAAATATTCTTGAAAATATTTATAAAATTATTATTATTATTATATAATAATTATTTTTTTTTATCAAACATATAATTTATACTAAATATAATAAATAACATAAGAATAAATGATTAAATTATACATCAGTATAAATATAATTAAAAATTATGAAAAATCAACAAACCTATGTGATGTCACAGGTTTACTTGATTTTAATAGTAAAATTTTGAATGTTTTTAGTTTTATTTAAATAATTGTTTACCATAATTTTATGTCTCGCGGTCATTATAATATTAGGTAAGTAAAAATAAATTACATATAGTTTTAATAAAATTAATTTTTGATATGAATATAATTATTTTAAAACTATTATAGTATATTTAACTATTTAATATAAACTGTAATTTAAGCCATAACAATTCATATTTTTAAGGAAAATGTCTTTGTAACTCAATTTTTAGTCTATATTTTGAATTACATTTGACAATTATAACTCACAAAATTTAAATAAAATTTACGTTCAATTTAATTTTAGTATATAAAGGAAAACTCAAAGACCAAATCTTATCGTCTAACGTTTACAACATAAAAAGACATTATTGACCAAAAGCTACCATTAAATGGTTTTGTATTAGCTAACTTATTATATTTTTAAAGTGAGGCCAAAAAACTAATATTTATTAGTTAACACCTGTATTCAAAGCCATTAATGCAGTTGAGATCGAAAACTGACAGATCCATAACAGTTAAATGTAAAATCGTTTCACAAATAAAACATCTCTGTAAGAAGTGAATTAAGTTAAAAAAGCAATACTACTGTTCAAAATAGAAGAGAAATAAAATTTCTGAAGTCATTAGATATTGTTTTTTTATTTCTATCGCTAATTCTTCAGAGATAAATTTTTTAAAAAAAGAATGTAAATTATTTATTTCTAAACCAGTCTTTAGTTCTAAAACTTCAGAATATAATTTATAAATATTTTATTATATTCTATATAGTAGCTAGTACACTTAGTAGTGTGGGGGAACAAAATGTAATTAGATCATCCATTTTAAATTATCCGTACATCTTAAGTGGACTAGATAGAATTTTTAAAAATGTTAGTACTACTTAAGTAACATCTAAAATAACAATTTAAGAGATTTATTAAGTAACCCAAAAGATAAAGTATAAGAAGGGTAGAAATCGGGCATTTATAAAATACAATATGAAAATTGTAATAAATGTTACGTAGGACAAATAAAAATAAATATAAGTTAAGTTTAAAGAACACTTAAGAATTAAAAATTAAGAAATTGAAAAATCTCCTATGGCTAGACATTTATTGACACATAAACACAAAATCATAAAACTAATTAAAAACGTAAACAATTACAAAGAACTTTATATAAGGGAGGCAAAAAAATATTTAAACATAAGAACAATTTAATTAATTGGGACCTTGGCCTAAAAAAATATTCATTATTAAACCTGAGTAAATTGCCAGAATGTGATAATATTACTTAGTGATAACGTCATTAAGGGTATATAATAAGATTTTTTTGGTTGGGTTGTCGGAATGTGTTTTGCGTTGACAATGATGACATTGTTCCTGAAATACGTATCCGAGATTTTTTTTAGTAATTTTTCGGGTTAAATATTTAAAATATAATTTTAATATTAAAAAATATTAGCCATCAGTGATCAATTTTTACATTTAATAATTATTTCCTGAATTATAAAAAAATTATACTTTTGGTCTTATATTATTGTTATACTTTTCTACCCAAATGCCGTTCATGAATAATCCAATTTTACTCTAAATTTTGATGCAACAAACAATAAAATTATCAGTTATAAATATGACATACTAAAATAAGTATAATATATAAAAAAGTTTATAAAATGTATATTAATTTTTTCTAAATTATTTGCAAACATAGGTAAAAGGCTGTATTTATTTAAAAACTTTCCGATGCGTCAACATTACTATTTATCCATTATGTCTCTTACATTGTATGCGTTAAAAACCTCCAATACGTGTATCTAAAATTTCGTATATTTTTGTTTTTAAATTATTTATTTAAACTACTGTTTATATTAAA